TTTCGGGGTGTTGGGGGCACAGAGCAAGGGTTTGACTAAACTCTGGGTACAAAAACTGAACTTCCCACTTTCTAGCTGTGTGACCTTAGGCCAGTTGAAACAGTCAGCATGATCCCATTTTGTTGAAAAACAAATGCTTTAAATCTAGAAAGAAAATCATCCTCACTTTTTTTTTAAACCATCCTCACTTCTTCAGTAGTTACCTCAGTGCTATGTTTACAAGTGATTTAAAGTGATTTTTTGTGCTTATCCATTTTTTCTGACATTTTCTCTAAACAGCATGGATTGATTGGGGCCCCCTCCAATAAAAACCCTCACAAAGCTATCTCCACTTTGGAAACAGATTCTGGGAAGGGACTCTGGAATTTTCGTATTGATACCCATACATTTGAAAGGGGAGGGGCTGTACTTTCCAGCAGTCAGGCTGCTCCTAAGTAGTTTCCCTGGCCCCTCAATGCCCTGGGTTAGACTAGTGTTGGCCACAGAAACTTCACACATGCCTGATGGGTCAGGTGGCCTGGCTGGCTTGTCCGGGCTCCCAGTTAGTCCTGCTGGTGGCTGTTCATTTCTCATGCTACGGGACTGCCTGTCAGCTGGCTCAGCAAACACCCCACCTGCCCCACTGGGTGCTCTTCCTGATGCTACATCCTGCCTTTAGACCAAGGTACTTCTGTGGAGGTCACTCTGCATTCCTCTGCTCAGCCAGCCTTATTCTTTTATCAACAGGAGAACAGAGGCACCTGGGTGACTCAGGCCCTGAGCCACAGACTCTTCATTTCAGCTCAGGTCATGATCCCAGGGTCGTGAGATCTAGCCCTATGTCAGGCTCTGGGCTGAGCATGGAACCTGCTTAAGATTCTCTCTCCCTCTGCCCCCTCCTGTGCTCATACTCCCAATCAATCAAGCAAGCAAGCAAGCAAGCAAGCAAGCAAGCAAAATTATAAAAAGGAGAACAAAATAGCTTCACTGGGTTTCTTTGCCCACGCTAGACAACCCTGATGTCTGGGTGCCTCACCTGACCTTGACATAGGCTGCCTTCCATAAATGTTATCTGCTTCTTGTTAATTTTTTGAGGTATGGTATACATATGATAGAATGCACAAATCCTAAATTTATGGCTTAAAGCATTTTGACCTATGTTTATACCCATATAACCACCACTTAGATGAAGACATTGAACATTTCCATTACCTCAAAGGGGTCCCTCGTGCCTTTTCCAAGTCAACACCCTGCCCCCCCCCCCAAAAGTAACATGACCTCCACCAGGTTGGTTAGATTAGCATTGCCTGTTTTTGAACTTTATACATACTCTTTGGCATCTGACTTCTTTTGCTTTTCATTATGGATGTCAGCTTTCACAAATCACCCCAAAATGTAGTGGCTTCAAACAACAACACTCAATTCTTTTGCTCACTGATCTTCCATTTGGGCAGGACTTGCAGGGGATGGTTCATCACTATTCCATGCAGCATCTGCTAGGGCAGATTGATGGGGCTCTGGAAAGTCCATTTCAAGATGGCTCATTTGCGTGGTGGTTGAGTTGATGCTGACTGTCATCTGATAGCTCAGCTGCAGCCTTGGGCCAGAGCCTCAGTTCCCATCCAGATGCATCACTCCAGAAGCTGCTTGGGCTTCCTTATAGTATGATGGCTGAGTTCCAAGAGAATGACCATCTCAAGAGAACAAGGTCAAAGTGCAAGGCATTTTCATGACATAGCCTCCGAGGTCACATAGCCTCACCTCAGCCGTACTCTATTTGTGGCGGCAGTCACGAAGGCCTGCCCGGGATCAGCAAGAGGAAACATGGACTCTACCTCTCGATGGGGATGTGGGAATGTTCTAAAAGAGGGTGGGGAGTGGTAGATATTGGAGTGTTCATCTTTGGAAAATACATTTTGCACTTTATTTCTGTGAGATTCATCCATGTTGTAACATGTATTTGTAGTTTGCTTTTTACATTGCTGAGTAATATTCCATTTACCTGTCCAGTCTACTGTTGACATTTGGATTGTTTGCAATTTGGAGCTATTTGAATAGTGCTGCTATGAATATTCTTATATAAATATTTTGGTGGGTAAATGCTGCCTTCAATCACTGTTGCTGTCCCTTTAGCTTTTAAGATCTTACAAATGATACAATTCTATCCTCTTTTTCCCCCCTCCCTCTCTCCATCAGTTACTGTAGCCGTATGTACTTAGTATGTAAATCTCTGCTGGTGTTTTTAGAATGTTGAAAAGAAATTCTATGAGTATTATATAAATACGTTCTCTTTATAAAAACTTTCAATATTGCAATTAAGATTAAATTTCCTTCTGACACCCCTTGCCAAATCTGGACCCTTTCCTCTTACCCCACAGTAACCCCTGCCACTAGTTTGCTAAGTCTCCTTCTAGAGCTTTTTTGATGCATCTACACACATGAGTACTCTCATAGAAAAATATTGTTTTCTGTGTGTGTGTGGGCTTTGTTTGTTTGGTATAATGAATGGCATCATACGGCTCTGCAATTCACTTTCTCACTCAAAAAAATATGTTGGAGATGGAATCACATGCAGATCTACTTTGCTTTTTTAAACTGCCAAATATTGTTCCATAGTATCATTATACCCCTGTCATTTAGCCACATCCCTTTGGAAGGACATTTAAAGTGTATCCTTCTTTATTGTTTGCAAGTGAAAGAGTTGCAGGAGCCTTGGATCTATGCCCCTCAATGTCTGTTTTCTTTCCCCTGCAGAGACGTCTCAGAGAGGCTGTGCAGCTGCTGGAGGACTACAAGCATGGGACCCTGCGCCCAGGGGTCACCAATGAGCAGGTAACTCTACTGGAGGTGGGAGGAGAAGGAAGGGGGCAAAGTCACAATCCTTTCTCTGCATCCGGAACCAACTCTCTTCCCTTCATTATCCACTTCCAGTGTTACATAGCCATGTGGACTTCTGGTTTTTTGGAGGAGACACTCAGCTCTCTCTCATACCCTGGGTCTGGGGGGAAGCACAGAGGTGATAAGACAAGAGACGCCCAAAGGCAGTAGTTTCCTAGAGCTGATGTGTACATCTCTTCCCAATTCCACGTTCAGTGACATCACAGAAGTAACTTGAAATCAGCCATGTGGGAGCATTTACACCATGGAAATTGGCAAATGCTACAAATCAGGACTTTCTTCCCCAAAGAACTAATTTTTAAATATTTACTAGCATACCACTACCCAAAAGTTCAGGTTGAGGATGGGAAAGATGGGGCAGGATAAAGGGGATTAGGCTAGGATGCTATAATTTCGTTTTTTATATATCATGTAGGAATTTGAACTAGAGCTAAGTAAAATGTTATTGGTTGTGTTTGGTTTGAGGAAAGGTAGAGGGATGCAGTGCAGGGCTGCTTTAATGATTATAGAGACTGATGGTTAACATTGCCAAAGTTTTTCTTTTTGTTTATAAACTTTATTTCAAAAACTTAAAAAAATTAATTTCACGCTTTTTCCCCCCAAAGTAACATGTGTGCATAGTTCAAAAAGTTAAATAGTACTAAAATACCTGGAGGAAAAGTACTATGTTGTCCCATCCCTCTTCTGTTCCCATTCTTTTTCTCCAGAAGCAAATACTTTTAACTATTTCTTCACATAGAAATCTGTATGTCAAACCAGTATGCTTATCTATAGTCTTATTGTTCAACTAGTTCTTTGTATTATCTATTTATAGTAGATGAGGATTCAGCTCTCTTGTTATTTACTTCCATAAAAAACACACTTCTCTCCGCCATCCTCATTACTCTCCCAAAATAGTTATTATGGCTTTGGGGGTTTATGGATATTCAGTATTCACACTATTACAATTATACAAATACCACGCACTGTTTTTTGTTTTCTCTCTTTTGAACTTTGTATTTTACCTGGAGTTAATAATTGCCTTAGTTTTTCCACATTGGCATAGTTTTCTTTATACCATCTCTACCTCTTACTACATTCTTTAGCAGCCTTTGATATTTTCAGTGCCTCCTTTCAATCTGAAGACTCCTGTCCTTCGGTTCCATTTTTTTCCCCTGAAGTTTTCCTTTCTGGTGTCCACCTCTTCCAGCTCCAGGCCTTTCTATTGTTGTATACTTTAGTTTTGGTGGAGCACCTCTTTCAGTAGCTTCCTAATATAAGAGTAAATGGGAAGAAAATTTTGAGTCCTTTTATGTCTGAAAATTGTAATTCTTCACTCAGCCTTAATTGACAATTTTGCTGAGGAGAAAATTATAGGTTGACAGACATTTTGAAGACATTACTCTATTGTCTTCTCACTTTCAGGACAGCTGTTGGAAATCTGATACATTTCATCTCTGATTCTTTTCAAGTAACCTGTTTTCCCTTTTTGGAAATGTTTAGGATCTTCTCTTTTAAAATTTGTTATTTTGGGTTCCTAGTGACCCTTTTCAATCTGGAGACTCCTGTCTCTCAGTTCTGGCTAATTTTCTTATGCTGTTTCCTTGATAATTTCTTCTTATTTTGGAACTCCTGTTAGCCAAATACTCGACATCTTAAATTGACACTTAAATTTTCTTATATTTTTTTCTTTTCCATTTCATCACTTTGTCCTGTGTGGCTTTGCAAGAAATTTCCTTGAGTTTATTTTCAACGTATCTATTGAAATTTTAACTTCAACTAGTATAATTTTAATTTCCAAGAGCTCTTTGACTGTTTCTTTTTAAAAATCTTCTTTTTTTTAATGTTTTTATTTATTTTGAGAGAGAGTACACATGCACACAAGCAGGGGAGGTAAGGAGAGAGAGAGAGACAGAGAGAGACAGAGAGAGAGAGAGAGAGGGAGAGAGAGAATCCCAAGTAGGCTTCACATTATCAGTGCAGAGCCCAATGCAGGGTTTGATTTCAAGAACCGTGAGATCATGACCTGAACCAAAATAAAGAGTTGGAGGCTTAACCAACTGAACCACCTCAGTACCCCTTAAATTCTTCTTAATAGAATTCTTTTCCTGTGTTGTGAGTACAGTAGCCATCTCACGTCTCTGCATTCTGGAAGACAAGTGGGGGAAGGAGGCTGGAGTCCCAATACTCACTTTGCAAACTTTTATTAATTTCCCTGCTTTGAGTCTCACTTACTCCCACCCTCTACTGTGCTGGTGTTCTCAAGTCTGGGATCACTTGGATTTAGTTTCTTCAGAAGGCTGATAAACCTCTAGCATCTGGGAAACATAGGTGAGGGTGGTAAGAGTCACCTTGCTGTATGGTGAAGGCCTTGGGATCTTATTGCTTTGAGGACAGACTTAGACCAACTCCCTGTGTTTAGTCTTATGATTAGCCCTTTTTTCCTGTGGTACCTGGTACCTTCAAGACCTGAACTTTGCTGGTGTTTTGAGAGCAATGGACTGGCTCCCTAAGTATGTCTTCCTCAGGCATTTGGGGGATGGTTTTTTCTTGTCTACTGGATAAGTTACTAAACCTCTAATTATTTTCCATCCAAAAACATGTTGCTGTCCCTCCTCTGCTGTTGTCTCTCCTTCCATTCTTTTGGTGACCCTATGAGGCACTGCCCTTGCCTTCTAACACCTTTAGGTGTAAAGCCCGTGCTGAGGCTCTGGGCTGACATCAGGACACACTAGTACCTGGCTGGCTGTTCCTGGGGTGGGTGGCTCAGCCATCAGCTCTCCCCAACCTAATTCATGTAATATGTATTTATGGAGCACCTGCAGGCCAGTTTTGATGCTGGGGCCTAGGGGAGAGAGCAAGGAAGAAAGTAGATGAAGATCGTGCTTCATGGACCCCCCGAATCTAGGCAATGATTATGAAAAACCACCATACTGTGGGACAGCAGCAGAAGGAGTAACTTGCCCAGACTGTCTGGAAGAGATTCCCACCAGAGATTTGAGGGATGAGAAGGGAATGGCCAAGAGGAGTACTAGGTAAGAGCCATCTGGGTGAGGAAGCACATCATGAGCGAAGATAGCAAGCCGCCCACAGCGGAAGTCTGGGAGAATGTGCTTGACCGAGGCCCGGCCACTTGAAAGGAGGGCAAATATGTGAGCTGATGCAGCACCTTGGCCAGATGTCCTTGTGCAGGGCCCCAGGGAGTGGTGGGAGATGGGGCAATGCCTGGCTAGACAGGGTCTATCTTCAGGCATCTGTGCTGCTATCAGCAGGAAGCACGGGCTGTGATCATATCATCCCTGAGCACAGTGCTTCCCTCTGGCATGGGCACTGAGGAGTCTGGGTGGCCTCACCTGACATCTCCTCTCTAGGCCAAAGTAATCCTCAGACCCTTGCAGTTCCTCTTGGACCTGTCAGGGGTGAGTTCAGCCCCCCCAACTCTTCACCCTGCATCTGCTCCCAACCCAAGCTCCCTCTGGCTGAGGTTGGCCTCTTGGGACTCCCTCCAGCATCCAGAGGTTGGGGAGTGAGGCCACATTTCTCCTCTTTACTCCCTTCAGTAGCGTAAAGTTGCCTGCCCTATTTGCTGGGCCTCTTTTGTTTTCTGCCCTGAAAGCCCCAGTGTGCCCCCAGAGAGCTGGGAGGAGGGGAGGTGGGGCGGGGGATCCTGGCAGTAGCCATGCTTCCCAATTCTGGCTCACGTTAGTGATGCCTGCAGTGTCCATCTGATGGCTGGGTAGCACAGTGCTCTAGGTGTGAGCCTGCTGCTCAGCCCCATTAATAATCATATCCTCCCTCTACTTCCCTTTCCAGTCCTCCTGGCTCTCACAATACTTTCCTCCCTGGGCCTCATCTGCAAAGCCACACCTCCTCTGGCCTCCATGGACAAGAACAGAGTGGGTGGATGATGACATATTAGCCCAGGATTTGGGAAAGCCTCAGCATTCTGCAGTTAAGGATGGTCCCCTATTCCTGGTCTAGGCTGGTCCTGCTCACAAGCCATATCTAGGCCCAGGGTGGCTCTGGATCTCAGTCTGGACAGCTGCCTCATCTGCCCCTAGGCTCTGTGCTTGCTCTGACGTCCTTTTGCAGGCGTGTGGATCAGAAGCCTGTGGCTGCCTCCTGATGCCTGCGGGCCTATCCTGATGTCACAGGCAGCGCAGGGTAACCTACTTACCAGCTTGTAAGCCTGGCCTCTTGTTATGACATCTCACCGGTGGGTACATACAAGTGGATTGCTAGTTTGTTCACACCTGATGGCCTTTGTTTGGTCTTCTGTTGGTGGGTGGCTGATAATTCCTGCAGAGACTGTTGTTAAAAGGTTGCTATTCCAGTGAAAAATTAGTCTTTAGGATAAAATAAAAATAAGTATATATAAATTACCCTTTGGGCTTGACAAGTAGAAACTTGCTGTGCTAGGAGCCCTATTAAGGACTGTAGTTATCAGTTAAACAACAAAGCCATAGGGGTGCCGCGGTGGCTCAGTCAGTTAGGCATCTGACTTTGGCTCAGGTCATGATCTCATGGTTTGTGAGTTCGAGCCCTGCGATGGGCTGTGTGCTGACAGCTCGGAGCCTGGAGTCAGCCTTGGATTCTGTGTCTCCCCCTCTCTCTCTGCCTCTCCCTCACTTGCTCCTATCTCTCTCTCTTTCTCTAAAATGAATAAACATTAAAAAAATTATTTTTGGGGCGCCTGGGTGGTGCAGTCGGTTAAGCGTCCGACTTCAGCCAGGTCACGATCTCGCGGTCTGTGAGTTCGAGCCCCGCGTCAGGCTCTGGGCTGATGGCTCGGAGCCTGGAGCCTGTTTCCGATTCTGTGTCTCCCCCTCTCTCTCTGCCCCTCCCCCGTTCATGCTCTGTCTCTCTCTGTCCCAAAAATAAATAAATGTTGAAAAAAAAAATTAATAAAAAAAAAAATTATTTTTAAAAAAAGCCATAGATGAGAGCAAAGCTAT